TAACATAAACCGATTAGGACCATGCTTGGTTTACAGCAAGTTCTCATAACACAACCATTATTTGTCTCAGTTTTTGAGTTGTTTACTCTTATTAGTTGTGTGTGTGTGTGTGTGTGTGTGTGTGTGTGTGTGTGTGTGTGTGTATGGACATCATGATGAACGCGTGGAGGTCAGAGGGCAACTTTTGGTAGTTGGTTCTCTCTCCTTCTACCATGTGGGTTCCTGGGATCAAACTCAAGTCACCAGGTTTAGCGACAGAGGTCTTTGCCTACTGAATGATCTGACCAGCTGTGTCTCAATTAAAAAAGAAATAGGAAAAACTCTCAGGACTAGAGATCCAACTCAAGAGTTTCATACATGCTAGACAATCTCTCATTCTAGTAATATATCTGTGATGGACTTATGACAATACACATTTTATAATATGTTATAGTAAAATATAAAATATATATTATATGGGAATATGCCCCAAGCAGGAGAAAGTGAGTAAGGAGGGAGACAGAACTATTTCTTAGTCAATAAGATCTAATATTAACTTTTAATCATTACCTCCTTACAAGTCACTGTGCTACTTTTTTGGGAGAAATAACTCAATATCTTTGGAAAAAGTATTTTAGTTCTTCTGTGGTAAAGGACTTTTTCCAAGGTCTTTCCCTTATTAGTAATGAACAAAACGCTTGTTGATTATATTTTCAGCTGCATAAATGCATGGAAGAGTGCGCCTCAGTAGACACAGGTCCAAAGTCACTGAAAAGCTACGCTGCACACTGAACTGAGGTGAATATGAGCACAGAACAAAGATTTTTCTCTACACAGTAATCACTGGGCGTGGGGGATGGGTGTGGGTTTATTTCAGAAGTACTGCTCTAACTGGAGGAGGGGGATTTTAGCTGCATCACCTTCTGCCAAGTAAAGGAAAAACTCCAGAATGATACGTCTGCTGCGATTTCTCTGAAAAGCTATTCAAAGAACCCAGACACCAGTGGTTTACCAGGCAGGCATCAGGATGAAGAGGCAGGCACATCATTGCGGGAAATCCGACTGTGATTCTAGCACCTGCGAATCCTGCAGTTCCCAGTAACACCCGGCCCCACACACTGCTGACCACCAACCCTCTTGTGTGTGGAAGGCAGGAGTCGGAAAGGTTCATAGCCTGACTTGAAGAAAGCTTTTGTAGCAGTGACGAGACAGGCTTAGAATCCAGTCCTGAACTCTGACCCCAAGCAAGATAACCTGTAGCCTTGATTTCCTTGCTGCAACTTAAAGCTTTGAAAAATTAACTTTGCCTAAATGAAAAAATGGCCAAGAAAGCTGTACTGAGAGCCTGCCTGAATTGTGCTGTTCCACACCGAGGCCTTGATGAATCAGAATCCAGATGGGGTCTTGCCTTTAGCAAACTCCATTCCATCACTAGGACTGTAACCCCAGGAGGTCATTCAGTGGAAGAAAAAAATGTGTTCACAGGAAGGTGGTCCTTATTCGAGTGTCTGTAATAAGACCAACACCAGAACTAGAGATAAACATCTTAGATGCTGACAAAGGCAGAATGGCTTATGTCCTAAGCATTCAACAGTCTGCTTTTTAAAAATGTCCAGCACACCTACATATACATTCTGGCCCTCTGAAGGTGGTGGTGTGGCTGGGGTCGGAGGAGGCTGCTGACCTGGCTTTGAGGGGTGACTGCTTGGACGCCAGGACAAAGGGGTGTGTGCTGGTGACAGGTCACAAAGGACAGCATGGGATAACTGTGGAGGTGTGAGGAGATGTGGGCAGAAATCTTGCTGGGAGATGGGCCATTGCCTTCGCTCCCTCCCTCTCTTGGGGACACGATTTGTGACTGGCAGCCATGCCTGGAATGAAGAGAACTATGAGCAGTGAGTGTTTGTTACCTTACTACACCGCCCACAGCTACCGGTCCATGGGCGTGTTCAACACCTCCATGGGGAACCTACAGCGGCAACTGTACAAGGGGGGAGAGTATGATATTTTCAAGTATGCGCCGATGTTTGAGAGTGACTTTATCCAGATTAGCAAAAAAGGAGAGGTGATTGATGTTCACAACCGCGTCCGAATGGTGACTGTATGCATCGCATCCACTAGTCCGGTCCTCCCACTACCCGATGTCATGCTGCTGGCCCGACCAGCTAAAGTCTGTGATGAACATGCCAGGCGGGCCCGGTTCAACAAGGAGAGAGGTCGCAAGCCTCCAAAGACATTAGAGCTCACCAGGCTGCTGCCTTTGAAGTTTGTCAAGATCTCCATTCACGATCGTGAAAAACAGCAGCTGCGCCTGAAGCTTGCCACGGGCCGGACTTTTTACCTGCAGCTGTGTCCCTCTTCTGATGCACGAGAAGACCTCTTTTGCTATTGGGAAAAGCTTGTCTATCTCCTGAGGCCACCAACGGACAGCTGCAGCAGTGGCCCAACGCTTCACACTGGTGACGCAAGTACCCCTGAGGACAAAAGCCTACTGGTAAGTTTCTAAAGACTTAAATAACCTGGGGAGATTTGGGGAACATCTCAGAGCAGATGCCACAGAGACAAAGGTGCCTGTTTAGGCCCACCTGGGAAATGTGTTATATTTGAAAGGATTCTGTGCCACCACTAGGGACTTAACTATCACTCTGGGAAGTTGAACTACTTCTCCAAAATGTCTTATAAGGCTTAATGTCAGAGGCCTGAATTATCAATTATTCTGCCTCATATCCAAGACTGTAGGTGAACCTTATAACTTCCTGATGGCTCAGTCTTAAACTCTTTATATACCAACTCAGCCTCCTACGTTATGGAATGTTATATAATCTATAAAATGAAGGGAATATACTATATATATTTTCTTCTTTTGGATGTAAGATCTCAAGATGTATCCCAGCACGGCCTGGAACTCACCCACCATGTAACTTAGGCTGGCCTTGAATTGTTTCCTGCTTCAGCCTCTCGTGCTGAGATTGATGACAGGTGCTATCACACCTGATCAAATTACATTTTTAATTTTAATTGATATGTATTAATTGTACATATTGATATGTTACAGTGTGCCATTGATATTTTATTTAATATGTAGTGATGATACTTGGGTGGCTGGCATGTCTATCACCCCAGATATTGATCATTTCCTTGTGCTAGGAATAGGGAGAATCCTCTTGATTTGTTATTGAGATAAGATTAATGGCCGCCAATCATAGTTATCCTTCGGGAACATAAGCCACAGGAAGTTACTCCTCTTACCTAACTATCTATTAGCCATATTCTCTACATTCCTGCTCCCCAGTAGCCCTCCCAGATCCTGGTGACCACTAATCTGAGACCAGCTTTTTAGTGTAGAATGATTTTAGTTCTATAGAACTAAATGTTCTCAGAAACATACCCTTCCCTGAGCCATAATCTGTCACCCTGTGCCTATTATATGATATTTTTTTAAAAAATAAGCACAGTCCCCACGTGTGTACTTGCACAACTGGTTTCAAGACCATCAATATGCCTAGTGTATCCCTGACCCAACAATTCCATTTGTAGAGCTGTGCCCTGCAAAGACAAACACACAACGCAAACCCAAAATGTGGAAAACATTCTAAAGTAGTGCTTCCCCTTGCCCTAGAACTGCCCAGGTGAAACTGAGGGGCCGTTGACTGAAGTGCAGTGGGAGGGATCTTGTAATAAATGGGAATTCGGATACGATTATCTCAATAAGAAGTCCCTGGGTTACTGAGCTCTGGGGTGAGTGAGGAACTGAGCATGCTAGCCCGTCACCTCAATTTCACTGTCTATTCTCCCCTTGACACAGGGCTCAGAGATCCGTGGAGAAGGGGATCAGGATTCGGGGCGTCAAAAGCTCCGAGATGTGTCAGGAGCCACCTCTGCTGCCTTCGCGGGAGGAGAAGGGACACGGCCAGCTACTATAGCCACTGCAGTCGTTGGTACTCGAGATGCCAAAGGGGTAGCAGTAGGGGCAGCAGGTGGCACAGTGGCTGCAGGAGTAATAACCGGCTCCTTAGCAGGGGTGGCAAAAGTGGGGACAGCTACAAGCTCTGCCTCTGATACTGTCAGCATGGCAACGACCAAGTCTCCAGGCTCAGGACAGGTAGCCGCAGCTCTGGCAGGAACAGTCAGTCAAGTTTCAGGAGGAAGTGGATCCAGCAAGGCCCTGGCAGCTGTTGCAAACATATCCTCAGATGGTATAGACGTAGTCTTGGCAGGAGCTGCTAGCTCCTCCTCGGAGTCCACTGCCGCATCTGGGACTGTCAGTGTTACCCAAGACAGCAACCTGAGTGTGGCGTTTGCAGGCACCATGACGACCAAGGGGCCTGCAGCAGACAAACCTGAAGCTCCACTCGTGTCAACCCTACAGAGTGAAGGCTACATGTGTGAAAGGGATGGAAGCCAGAAGGTCTCACACACTGGCTCTGAACCCCGGAAGGAAAAACGGGAGAGACGAGAAAAGGACAGAAATGCCAGCCGGAAAAGATCCCATCACCACAGGTCAGGGGCAAGTCACCGAAGCTCAGGCAAGGACAAGACCCGGAAATCATCTTCCCACCGGTCCTCCGTATCCGGCCATGGGAAAACAAGAGAAGGCAAAAAAGGAAAAGGGCACAGCAACTTAAGGGGCAAGAGACATGGCTCCTCTCGCAAGAGTGAGTCCAGGACTGCTCGCAAACCCAGGAAGATCCAATCCACAGCTAGCTCAGTGTCTGTGGTTAAGAAGTCCAGTAAGATTGGCTCTTTTTTGAGGAACTTTCTAATACGGCCTACTTCAAAACCAGGTGTCCCCTCACGTGATAGAGCGGTGGACGTGACAAAGACGGTGGAGAAGCACAACGTAGAGACGAAAATGGAGAAAGGCAAGGAGTTAGAGTTCAGCGGTATGGTAACCGAGACAACGGAGAGGATCATCTTCGAAGCCAAATCCATTTAATAAGATCCAGAGTAGGAAGATGCAACAGAGACCAGGGCTCAGGAGAGCAGCCCTGGTGGGACAATTCCAGCTTCCCTAAAGGCAGTTTCAATAATAAAGGTCACATAACTCAAAAAGAATTCTGCCTTCTGTTTGCACTTCTGTGTGTGCACTCTGGCAGTGACTTCACAGTGGCTTCTGTGACATCCACTGCTCTGGTGAGGTAGAGCCTCCCACCCACAGGTCCAGATGAGCCAAGGCTGAAGCAACAGCATTATCCCCTTTCAGTCTTTGGTTCCCTAAGTACAGGCCATCAGCCACTGGGGGAACTTTGTACCCATTCTCCCGCCTTCCCAAAAGGCCATTCGCGAGTGGGAACATTCAGTCTATTCCATATTTGAGGGAGGGCAAGAAGATACAGTGGCCTTACCAGGCAATTGGCACAGGGAAGTCTATGAACTAAAGGCGTCTTAAACTATGTGTACAAATCCTAAAGGCAGGGCGGCAAACAAACAAACAAAATCATTTGCAACAGTTAAAGCTTTCTCAACTTACAAAAAACCAAAAAATTCAAGATGAGAATAACAAAGCAGAGATGACTTTGTCAGAGCAGCCGTGGCTCTGAACACACAATCCACACACTACACATGCGCACACTAGCACAGCATGCCAGTCAAAGGTGTCCGGAACACCTCTCAGGATAAAAGTCACTGTAAGTCACTGAAGTGTTTTTACAACAGGTTTCAGCTGTCATAAAAACAATGGTTTAATTACGGAAAACAAATACCTTTAATTGTTTTCTATCTCCATCCTTCAGCATGGATCTCTGACTGCCCCGTGTGAGCATGCATGATTTCGAAGTGATATTTGAGTGGCTGGTAAGAGTTATAAAAAAAAAACAGTTAAATGTACATTGGCTTGAGATCAGGACCAGTTTCCCACAATTTCTGAAACAGCCCTGAACTTACTTCTATCATTTTGTAGTATGTATTTATGAGCAATGCTCATTATAAAATCAAAGTATTGGTCAAGTCCGAAAAATGCTGAAAATGTCCCATATCCTGCAGTATCAAATACTCGGGCAAGATCTGACTTTTTAGAGATCTGTTTTCATTATTTTAAATCATGTGTGTCTACTTGTAGGTATGTGCATATGTGTACAGGTGTACTTGGCTGCTAGAGGCATCAAATCCTCCTAGATGGAGTTTCAGGCAGTTGTGAGCTACCCAACGTGAGTGCTGGGGTCTGGACACAGGTCCTTTGCAAAAGCAGGGTAACTTTACGCATTGTGTCATCTCTCCAGGCTCAGTATTTAATTTCTAGGTAAAAATAAATATATGCATCTCATTGATATGCAAATGTGTTCTCCTCTCTAACAAACAGTACAATTAAATGTATCCCAAAGAACTTTTAAATATAATGTTTAATTTTCTTTTCTCTTGAGAGTTTCTATAATGACATCTATCCCCTATTTTATCCTCCAACATCCCTCATATCAACAGGTCACCCTCTCAACTTTTCCTTACTTAAATATGTATATTTTATATATATACAAAATCTAGGAAGTTTAGTTAGTGCTGCCCATATCTGTGTAGGTGTGGGTCATCCCTCAGAGCATGGGAAACCTACCAGTGCCCACATCCTCCAATGATAATGATCTTTCCTCTCCAAGCACCCAGCAGCTGCCGAGAGCTCCCAACAAGGAATGAGGCCTGGAGATCACAAACCCCACCTATCTATTGCTCAGACTGGGCGGCTTGATCCCACAGCTGTTGTGTGTTTACAGTGTGACGATCCCACAGCTGTTGTGTGTTTACAGTGTGGCAGCCATGCCACATACAGAAGGCAGCACATGACAGCACTCCTCCCATCCTCCAGCTCCTGTGTTCTTCCCTCTCCTTTACACGGTGCTCCCTGAGCACTAGTGGTGGACTGAATATAGATGTCGTATTTAGGGCAAAACACAAGGAACTCTTATTCTGAGCATTTTAACTAGCTGGGCATCTCTGCGTTGGCCACTGCCCACTCCACAAAGGAGCTTCTCTGAGCAAGGTGGAAAGCAGCCCAGGTCTATGGGTATGAACATAAATGTGTAGAAGGATCCTGGGCAGCATGAGCCTTTAGCCACGGTTCTTCCCTAGGACCTCCCCAGACTTTGAACAAGACTGGTCCAGTGCAAAAAATGTGAAAATGCCCTTCTTTAGTTACTTTTCGATTGTTGTCATCAAACACCACGACCAAGGAAACTTCTAGCAGGAAGGGGTTATTTGGGACTTACAGTTTCAGAGGGATAGGAGTCCCTCGATGTCATGGTGGGGAGCAGGGCAACAGACAGGCACATCCTGATCCACAAAAAGAAATAGAAAGGACGCTGGGGAAGGCAGCAGTCTTTTGAAAGCTGATGCCCACCTTCAGTGACACACTTTCAACACGGTCACACTTCCTTATCCTTCCCAACAGTTCCAATAGCTTGGGACCAAGTAGTAAATATAAGAGCTTATGAGGGCCATTCTCATTTCAAATACCACAGCTCTTTCAGATTATTTATATAATGGATTACATTGATAGATTTTTGTATGTTGAACCAGCCCTGAATCTATGGGATGAAGCCTACTTGATCATAATTTTTTTTTTTTTGGTGTGTTCTTGGATTTGGTTTGCCAGTATTTTATTGAGAATTTTTGCATCAATGTTCATGAGTGAGACTGATCTGTAATTCTCTTTCTTGGCTGAATCTTTGTGCAGTTTTGGTATCAGGGTAACTGTGGCTTCATAAAAAGAGTTTGGCAATGACCCTTCTGTTTCTATTATGTGGAACACATTGAGGAATATAGGTATTAGCTCTTCTTGGAAGTTCTGGTAAAATTCTGCACTAAAACCATCCAGCCCTGGGCTTTTTTTGGTTGGGAGGTTTTTGATGACAGCTTCTATTTCCTCGCAACATAAAGGTCTATTTAAATTGCTCACCTGATCTTGATTTAATTTTGGTATATGGTATCTATCTATAAAAAAGTCCATTTCTTTTACATTTTCCAATTTTGTGGAGTACAGGTTTTTGTAGTAAAACCTAATGATTCTCTGAATTTCCAAAAAAAGAAAATGCCACATCTCTCCTGTGGATCAGATCTCAAATGCTGTCAAAAACCAATTAGTCACTCTGTAACAAATGTAGAGCTATTGCAGCAGTGTGGACATCTTGCCTGGAAAGTGAGTTACTGCAGCATGCAGGGTCCAGTGCTGGGTAAGAACACTGATGTCTTTTCTCTCCTGGCAGCCTGGGTAGCCCTCCAGGTAATAGACAAGCTACCCAACACAGCGGAAGTTTGAGAATGATTTCTCTGTGTCCTGTAGCCAAAGTATGGCATTTTCAGCGGTAGGGCCTTACCATGTAGCTATGAAAGACAACCAAGGGCAACGGCAATAGTCTGTCACTTAGGAGACCTCTGGGACTTCCCTGAGCCATGACTTGAAGGGCTTGTGCCTTGTGCTATGGTTTGCCTTCAAAACCTTTGTCTTCTAAGAGCAACGCTGTCCACCAATGCAGGGCAATTCCATGAATACCTTTTAAATTTAAATTTTTGAAATGATCTTACAAACCCATGGGTTTCCAGAAGGCTTTTCACACATCCTTAGTTTGGTTTACCATACTGTATTTGTCACTTTTCTGCTGCTATGATGAAATGCCATGGCTAAAACCAGCTAATGGAGAGAGTTTGTCTAGGCTTACCTTTCTAGAGGGACAGTCACCATAAGGGCAAGGAAGGCACAGAATCACATCTTTCATCCACACACGGGAAGCAAGGAGAGGGAGAGCAGAGAATGAGGCAAGGCTGTTAAATCTTAAAATCCTACTCCAAGAGATGAACTTTCTCTAGCAAGTATCTACCTCTTAAAAGTTCCATGACAGTGCTTCCCAAACAGCACTGCCAATGAGAGAAGGAATGTTCAAATGCATGAGCCTGTGAGGGCAATTTCTCCATCAACTCACCATCCCTACCTACAACTAAAAGAAATTTGCTTAAGAATTATTTTTTTGCAAAATTTTTATTTGTATACCCATTTTAAACCTATATATCGGAAGTCTCCTAAGAGACTTTGGGCAAAATGCAGAAAGAGTTAAGAAGGTTTCATCTACATTGGGATTGGCAGGCTATGTTCAGATGACCAAATCTTGCAGACTGAATGAAAAAAAAAACCAACCAAACAAACAAAAAGACATGACTGCTCCTAGGGATGGTAGAGGAGAAGGTTTATTGTGGATACGAGGGAAAGTATAGTGAGAGGCAGAGACATCTGGGAGAGACCAGAGTGACTCTGACCCTGAGTCATGTGAGGAGAAAGGGGAGGGTAAAGGAGAGAGCCAGGAAACCAGGAGGGTGAACCAAGTTTGTGTGCGCATGTGTAAGTGTGAACACACGTGTGCATGTGTGTGGGGGCTGAAGTTTGATGTCTTCCTCACTCTTCCTCACACAGTGAGACAGTGCGTCTCACTGAAACTGAAGCTCATGTGTTCAGCTAGACTAGCAGCTGGCCAATGAACCTGAGGGATCTCCCTGTCTGGGCACCAGGTCTTCATGTGTTTGTTGGTCCTCATGCGAGTGCAGCGAGCACTCTACTGACCGAGTCCGTCTCCCCAGCCCTGAATAATAATGTTTGGTTGGAACACGGGGGTAGCCGGTGTTGTCCATGCAGTTTTTATGTTAAAATGAAAGGTCTGAGCAGCTGCACAGATTAGACAGCCCACGAGGTTTACATATTTACCCTCTTACCCTTTAGAGAAGAAGGCCTGTTGTCCCCTGGGCTAGAAGATGTCAACAGTTCTCCTTCCTCTGATATCTACACACTTTGGAGAAACTCTGAGAAACACTTATCAGAAGCAAGCCAGACAAATGCTTGTGGAAAGACACTCTGTATTAACAAGACCCTGGATGGAGCCCAACTGTTCATCAGACAGGAAAGCTCATGAACTGTGATATAAGGCTGCCGGGCCCTATTTTTGGCACTGAAAACGAACATCAGCTATGCCCGCTAGCATGGATGAATTTTATATAACATGGTGAATAAAATTCAGACAGAACGATTATAGGGGATTCCATTTGTAGCACAGCTGAAACAAGAGCAGCGGCTAGAGAGACGGCCCAGCTGGTTAAGAGCACTGGCTGCTCTTTCAGAAGACTCAGGTTCAATTCCCAGCATGCAGATGGCAGCTCATGACCATCTGTAACTCCAGTTCCAGGTGATCTGCCCTCTTCTGACCTCTGCAGGCACCAGGCATGCATGCGGTAGACAAACACACCGGCAAAACACCCACATCCATAAAATAAAAAAAGCAAGAGTAGACAAAGCTTGGAAGAGTGTGTTTGCTGAAAGCATATAGAAAAATAAAGAAATAATGAACACGAAATTCAGGAAAGAGATGGTTTTCAGAGGTAAAAGCAGGGATGTGTGATGTGAGAGGCACACACAGAAGTTTTCAGCAGTGCAAACATCCTATTTCTTAGGCAAGAGGATGTGCCAGGTAAGCTGGTCCACTTTGGATATGTTGAAGAGAGCTTAATGACAAAACACACTATCTGGAAATAGGTCTTTCATAAACATAAAATGAAAAATTTCATTGATAGTATAAAGGAGTGGTCATAATACGAAGACATGGAAACTATTTCAATATATTTATACAGGACAAGATGGGCCTGGGAATAAAGTTCAGAGGTATAACACTTGCCTAGCATGAATGAATGAAGTCCTGGGATCAATTCATAAAGCTCAAAAAAAAAAGGAAAGAAAAAGGAAACAGAATATTCCACAATAACATATATGTATACTAATTAACTATATAAATTACATATACAGCACAATTAAGTCCAAAAGTTTAAAGATATGTTATATTATATATAAAGTTATGAAATTCAAACATTATAAAAATGAAATAGTACTACAGAACTGCCTTGCTACTTAATTTTAAACAGATGATAAACTCATGATTCTACATGAAATCAGATATTAAACAAAAGATGATAAAAGTTTAATTGAGAAAAATTGTGGAACTTGTGTGCTTACATTGTTTGTATGGTGAAGTTGGGTTTCCAGGGACACCTGGGGGCCTTCTCTGAAGAACAAATGTGTTATGGCTGGAAAAATGGCTTTAAGAGTGCTTGTTCTTGAAGTAGACCCAGGCCTAGTTCTCAGCACTCATACAGCATCTCACAACCATCTGTGACTCCAGTTCCGGCGGGTTCAACACCCTCTTCTGACTTCTGAGGGCACTACATGGGAGACAGATGTACTTTTATCCAAAAGCAGCACTTCTCAACATATCAGTCATGAACCTTTTGGGTTCAAATGACCCTTTCAGAAAACACCAATATTTATATTACAATTCATAACAGTAGCAAAATTATTTATGAAATAGCAACAAATTTTGAGGGGGTCACCATAACATGACAAACTGTATTAAAAGGTTACAGCATTGATAGGGTTGAGGTGTAGATTTGTGCAGCAGTAAAAATGAGGTCCTTCCCACCTCCTATTAGGATAATGTCATAGGATGCTCATTAAAAGAATGTATAAATAAAACCTATGGTATCATAACATAGTGGAATAATTTCCTGTCTTAACCAAAAATACCATATGTTAACCAAGAAGTAGAAAGACCTGTGGATAGATGAAGAAAAGATCTACCAAATGCCTCAATGACAGAGAAGTCAGAATTGTCTGACATGTATTTTAAAGCATCCTTGACTAAGCAATTGGGGAAGTTCTTGAGACAAATGAAAAACTAGAAACCCCCGGCAAAGAAACCAAATATGAAAGGAGAACCAAGTGGAAGCTTTAGAACTGGAGCTACAGCAGCAGAGCGAGGGGCTGAGGAGATTCGCTAGGCAGCTAAGAGCGTCACAGCTCTTGCAGGGAACCCAAGTTTGCTTTCCTGCACATACCTAACGTGCACACATACACACACGGAGAGTGTAAAAAACAATAAATCTTCATAGCTGAAAAAAAGCTGTGGGTGGGCTCCACAGTCGATTAAATAAGGAAGAGGGAATAATTAGTGAACTGAAAGAGAAAGTGACAGACATGGTGAGATTGGAACAACCAGAGCAAACTGGGAAAAATGAACAGGGCCTCAGGGGCCTGTGAAAGCAGACCAGAAGACCTACCATTGCGTCACCGAGTCCTGAGGTGGGAACAAGGGGAGGCTATAGGAATACTAGAAGAAGTAACAGCTGAAAGGTCTAAAGTGTAATAAAAGAGGATCTACAGACCCAGTTAGCTAACTGAATAAAAATGGATAAATGCAAAGAAAAATATATGCAGACAAATCATAGGCTCTGTAAACAAAAATACTGAAAACCACTACAACTACAGGGAAAATAAACTCAAATGACTAGACTTTCTTATCTGAAACAGTGGAAGACATAAACAAGTGGCACGATCATTTTCAAATGCTTAAATAAAACAATTAAAAATACCCATCCTTTCTTTTTTGCAAGAAATTTGTTCTTCATAAATGAACATGAAATCAAAGCACTCCCCTCATCCCTCCCTGTCTCTCTCTGTGGGTTTTGTTTGGATTTTCAAGAGGGGGGTTTCTCTGTGTAGCTTTGGTTGTCCTGGAACTCACTTCTGTAGACCAAGCTGGTCTCAGAGACCCACCTGCCTCTGCCTCCTGAGTACTGGGATTAAAGGCATGCACCACCTCCCAGAAAGACATTCTCAATCGAAGGAAAACACACACACACACACACACACACACGGAGGAGGAAGGGAGGGGAGGGTAGGAAGGAGAGAGAGAGACTCATCCAGAAAACCTGTTTTTAAAGATCCACAGGACATATTGGTGACATAGAACAGTAATCTCAACACCTGGAGGTAGACACAGATCAGAAGTTCCAGGTCATCCTCCCTTACGCAGTGTGGTGGTTTGAATGAGATTGGCCCTATAGGTTCATATATTTTCATGCTTAGTCCCCAGTTGGTGAACTTATTTGAGAAGGACTAGGAGATGTGTGGTCCTGTTGGAGGGGTTCTGTCACTAGAAGTGGCTTTGAGGTTTCAAAAGTCGTGCCAGGTCCAGTGTCTCCCGTTTTCCTCTGTGGATCAGGAGGTAGCACTCTCAGCTACGTCTCCAGTACCATGTCTCCTAGTTGCCACCATGTTCCCCACCCTGATGATAAAGGACTAACCCTCTGAAACTGGAAGTAAGTCACTAATTTCTTCTGTAGAGTCAAAGACACCACAAGAGAACCCACAGAATCAACTAACTTGAGCTCATAGGGGATCACAGAGACTGAACCAATGACCATGCAGCCTGCAAGCCCCTCCCCCCTCACATATATGTGACAGCTGTGCAGCTTGGTCTTGTGAGGTTCCTAACAGTGAGAGTAGGGGCTCTCTCTGACTCTTTTGCCAGCTTTTGGGGCCCTTTTTCCCCCTACTGGGTTGTCTCACTCAGCTTTAATAGGAGGGAAAGTACCTATTTTAGTTTGCAGTATTTTACTGCAACTTGATATGCCATGCTTGCTTGATATCCACGGGAGGTCTGCCCTTTTCCGAAGAGAAATAAGAGAAACAGAGGAGAAATGGATGGGGGTGTAGGGAGAGGGGAGGTGAGGGGGGAGAAGCTTGGAATAGAGGAGGGAGGGGAAACTGCAGTCAGGATGTTAAAGAATAATAGATTTTAAAAAAAGAAGAAAATGCTTTCTTCTGTAAGCCACCTTGGTTATAATGTCTCTACAATGACAGAACAAATAAAACACAGAGTGAGCCTGAGAGGCTCAAAATGATTCATTTAAATATTTGTGGCTAGATATTGAAAGATGGAAGAACACAATAAACAAAAATATAGGAAAATATATATAGGTTTTCCTTCGGTAAGATTTTTCTAAATTGTGTTTGACACCTTCGGGAGAAAATTATTATGCTTTCTGTTTGATATAATTGTTTATAAAGGAAATATCTAAGACCATTATATTCTAAGTGGAGAAGAGGAAAGGGATATAAAGAAACGTAAGGTTTCTGTATTTCACCTAAACCATTAAAATGACAACAGCAGACTGTGAAAAGATATGTATATATGTTATACCTATGGTGGCATCATCAAAGTGCTTGAAAAGAGATCCAATTGGGGCGGGAGAGATGGCCGAGCAACGAAGAGCACTTACTGCTCTTCTAGAGGACCAGAGTTCTCAGAGCCCATGTCAGGTGGCTCACACCTCCTACAGCTCCAGCTCTTCAACAGTCTGCTGCCTTTGGCCTTGTCAGGCACCTGCACTCATAGGCACACCCCCAATCCTGCCATGCACGTAAACATAATAAAGAAAATCCAACACTTTAAAAAGGAATTAAACTGGGCGGTAGTGGCACTCACCTTTAATACCAGCACTCAGGAAGCAGAGGAAGGTGGATCTCTGTGAGTTCGAGACCAGCCTGGTCTACAAGAGCTAGTTCCAGGATAAGCTCCAAAAGCTACAGCAAAAAAGTATTAAAAAACTTGAAAAACTTGAAAACTTGAAAAACCAAAAAAAAAGTATTAAAATATTACAGGTAAATCAAAATGAATCTCTAGAAAATATTAGCATAATCCACAGGGAAAAGAAACTATAAACAAAAACACAGAAAACAAAATGGCATATGTAAGTTCTGGCATATTAATAAACATATTAAACATAAATACTCTACATATACCTATTCAAAAAGCATGATGCAATTATATGTTATCTATAAAAACCCTCACAAAATCCTCTAAAAAAATCTCTGATGACAGAAAAATATTAAAGGCAAAAGAAAGAAAACTGTATCATGAAAACATTAAAGACAACAAAAAGAGTTATATTAATATCATTAAGTAGACTACAGAGCAGTGAAAACCATCATGAACAAGAAAGACACATCATGTTGTGATTAAGAAAGACATTAAATTGTGAGGTGAACCTGAGGTTGCGGGGGATCATGAGTTCAGAGCCATACTAGGATACATTGTGAGATGTGGTAGGAGGGAAAGAGACAGGGGGTATTAAAGGGACCAAGAAAATAGCAACCATATGAGTGTATTCACCCCACAGAAAAGGTGTGAAAGGAGAAGGCCTGAGGCAGTGAACTCCACAGAAGCACGAGTGGATTCAGACCAAGGACATTTACGGAAACAGGACTGAGCCAGTGACCTAGGCCAGAACAGGCCTGAGACAGTGAACACCATAGGAGCAGAGCAAAGCCTGGGAGCACAGAGTGACCTCAAGGAACACAGAGTGACCAACGAGGTGACTGGAACCGTGGCACTGACTGCACCACAAGGAGCAACCATCTGAGTCTTGGATCCACTGGCACCTGGAAAATTTTTTCACCAGAGTCACAGACATCCCCAACTACACCAATACAGGGAAAAGATGGGTAGACAAGGTAAGAACACATGCAACACCACAAAGAGCAACATGATACCAGTAAAAACTAATCACCCTACAATAGCAAGACTTGAACAACCAAATATAGATATAGCAGAAGAAAATGACCTAAAAATAACTTTAGGAGAATATTTGAGGTCCTTAAAGAGGAAATATAAAATTCCCTCAAAGAAATGGAGGGAAAGACAAACAAAAAATTGGAAGACAACAACAAATCCCTTAAAGAAAACCAAGAAAAAGGCAATCAAACATATAAAAGAAACTATTCAAGACTTGAAAATTGAAGTAGAGACAATAAAGAAAACACAAGCCAAGGAAATTATTGAAACAGAAATCATGAGAAAATGTTCAGGAACCACAAATGCAAACATAAACAGCAGAATACAAGAGATAGAAAAGAGACTCTCAAGCACTGAAGATATAATAGAAGAAATAGACTCATCAGTCAAAGAAAACCTTAAATCTAATAAAAGCTTAACACAAAATATCCAGGAAATATGGGGCACCATGAAAATGCCAAACCTAAGAATAATATGTATAGAAGAGGAAGAAGTTCAACTCAAAAGCATAGAAAATATATTTATAAAATCATAGAAGAAAACTTTCCTATCCTAAAGAAAGACATAAGAAATGTACAGAACACCAAATAGAGTGGATTGAAAAAAAGTCCCCTTGCAATATAATAATCAAAACACTAAAGATACAGAAAAATGAAAGAATATTAAGAGCTGCAAAGAAAAAAGACCAAGTAACATATAAAGACACACGTATCAAAATTACACCTGACTTCTCATTGGAGACAATGAAAGCCAGAAGGTTGTGGTCAAGTGTTATGTAGACATTAAGAGACCACGGATACCAGCCCAGACTACTATACCCAGGAAAACTTTCAATCAACATAGAAGGACAAAATAAGATATTCCATGACAAAACCAGATTTCACCAATACCTAGCCACAAACCCAGACCTACACAAAGTACTAGAAGGAAAACTCCAACCCAAGGAAGTTAGTCACATCAACAAAAACACAGACAATTGATGATCTCATAGCAGCAAATCTCAAAAAAGGGAAAAACACACAAATTAACATCACCAACAATGAAAACTAAATTAAGAGGAGATAACAATCACTAGTCATTAATATCCTTTTATATAAGTGAACTCAACTCACCTATAAAAAGACACAGGCTAACAGTCTGAATATGAAAACAGAATCCAACCTTCTGCTGCATACAAAAACATACCTCAACCTCAAAGACAGACATCACCTCAGATTAAAGAGTTGGGAAAAAAATTCCAATCAAATGGACCTAAGAAGAAAGCTGGTATAGCTATCCTAAACTGAAATCAATCAAAAG